TGACTATAACTAATAAGTTGATAAAACTAGAACAGAAACAAAACCTACAACAGTAGCTAAAAGAAAGGGAGTAAGTTTTTAGACTGACTATAACTAATAAGTTGATAAAACTAGAACAGAAACAAAACCTACAACAGTAGCTAAAAGAAAGGGAGTAAGTTTTTTAGATTTGTTCTAGTTTTATCAACATATTAGTTATAGTCCTGTTGTAGGTTTTGTTTCGAATCAATAACTAAAGCAACCTTTTTTCCTCTACTGAGTGGTGGAGAACACACCTCTGAGATTCAGATTACTGCTATACAGTTTTCTTTTGTATCCACATAACATACAATATCTGACTTTTATGTTTTATTAACATATTAGTTATTGTCAGTCTAAAAACTTACTCCCTTTCTTTTAGCTACTGTTGTAGGTTTTGTTTCTGTTCTAGTTTTATCAACATATTAGTTATAGTCAATCTAAAAACTTACTCCCTTTCTTTTAGCTATTCAAGAAAATTTATCACTTGATAATCTCTCTATTTTTTCCCACTACAATTACCTTACATTGGTTGGTTTTTAAGTGTGTGATATTCCAGATACGTTATGCTGAGATGGTATGTTTCCCACTACAATTACCTTACATTGGTTGGTTTTTAAGTGTGTGATATTCCAGATACGTTATGCTGAGATGGTATGTTTCCCACTACAATTACCTTACATTGGTTGGTTTTTGAGTGTGTGTGATATTCCAGATACGTTATACTGAGATGGTATGTTCACAGTTCACATAATGTTCGTGATACCGTGTACCTGTGATCTTGGTGTCCAGACAATAAAGCTTTCTTGTACTTCAAATAGTTGATAAAATTATATTAAACTAACTTGTGTAGCCAAATAGATAATTAAATTTAATCCTAAGTTCCTGGATTTGTCTTATATTTATAAACTTTACTCATTTGTTGCTGAAAAAACACTTTTATGTCAATGAGCTGATTTATTTTTCTTCTTCATCTAGTCAGGAGATACAAGACCTGAAACAGAAACTTCAGAAACAGGCAGGCAGAACTGGTATAACTCGAAACCTGACTCCCCATACCCATAAAGCCAGTTTACAACACCACGGTAAAAGCACCTCAGAGTCCCAGGCTAAGACCACTACACTGAAACAGGGTAAAACTCTGACTACCAGGAAACCAATTGGAAACCAGACTCTGTCCAGTCAAACGAAGACCTTAGTTAAGCCAGTAGACAAGCCTAAGAAATTCACTGTAAAGAACAGTTCCAACATTCCAACTTGTAACCCTCCTTCACAGGTAAGAACTAGAGTACAGAAGGTGACCTTACCTAAATATTAGAAACATGTCTTTCATTAAGAAAAGGTTTGGAGGAAGCACATTTGACAAATACCTAATAGCATGCCTGGCCATAGCCAACTTCTCTCTGAGATTCCCATGTTAGTGTAGAGGTGTATTAAAACTGAAACTACTTATCCCTCTCTCAGTTCAATTGACTGACCATGTGACCACTTTGTACTCACTTAGTCATTAATGTGCTTGTTATAGTTTTCATGCTATAACTTTTAAATTAGTAGGTGTATGTTAACGAAATTTGGCAGATTATCAGTAAACATTACAATGCTTTCATATACAAAATATCAAATTTTGTTATTTAGCTTATAAAGCAATGTTTACTCATGTCACTTTTCTCTTTTCGCATGTTGCCTATCTATCATGCAAAATAATATTCATTTTAAGATTGAAAATACTTTTATGGATCAGAACATTTTGAAACTTCACATGCAAAATCTTTATAATGTCAAGATAGTTATCAAACATTTCTTAAGAAAAAATTTATACTTTATCTATTATTTTCAGTAATTAATCTCTGTACGGGTTCAGTAAATTTGACTAATCTTGCAACCACCATAAAAAAATTAGGAAATAAATATAAGTTATGCCTCTTTCATTCTAAAATGAACACAAATTATAACACAAAAACAT